TCACCCTTCTAATCTCTATCTTGTTTTCCTTCTCCTTTTGTATCTCATCTCTTTTCTCATTGTCTTTGATTAGTTTGTAAGTCACTGCTTGTTTTACTTCATTACTACACAGCACCTATTTGAAGACATAACAATGATAAGTTTTTATAGAAACAATTATCATTTATTGTGATTATTAGTAGTAACAATAACTAAGAGATTAATTGTAGAGTGAGCTCAATTTTCCTTAATTTCCTCTTCAAATAATACACAATTACTTTATCTACTTCTTCCCATTCCCCACTCTATCTATACAAAGAAAATATGTACTTTTAAGTATTAAAGAACATGTAATACTGCATTCTTAGTAATATAAACGGGCAAATTTTATTTTCTTAGAAGCAAAGGCAACTTTATATACAACCACCAGATGGCAGATGGACCTATATCTTTTAATGAATTATATAGTCTTCCTACAAATGTCAGGAATTCGTATCAGACAGCTATTTTCATTAATTTTCTGTAACTTTGTACAAGGTATGTATAAAATGTTATAATCAAGATATTTGCCTGTAACATTTTATCATATGTGTATTTTAATTAATTATATCCAATGTCACATCACTACCTGAAGAAGCTGTAGGGGTAATGCCATCAGCATCTTATCCTGGTGTTTGGAGGCTGAAGGCAGACTGAAGTTGAACCAAGCAAGATGTAGTCACCATTCGTTCATTGTGGTTGTCTATCAACCCTAGTCATCTCTGGATGGGTTTCCACTACCTTTGAAGAGCAGGTTTGCAGGGGGTTCTTCTGGGTTCACAGCTCTTGCTCAAGCAGTAGATGGAAGCCATGGTAGAGGGACTTTTGCCCAGCTTTGGTTGATGTGCCAATTGTGGCCTTACTTCATGCAGGAGAACCTGGTTACACTAACTCACAACCTCATTATCACCAGTTACACTATTGCATTTTAGTCTACATTTGGATCTATAAAGCCCTTCATGGTGTGGCATTTGGGTACCTAAAGGACTGACTGCTCCAACCTGAATCAGCCCAAGCTACCATACACACACACACACACACACACATATATATATATATACACACCCATATACATATACATACATACACACGCATACAAACATACACATACAGAAAGAAGCTCCTTGTGGTCCCACA